TTTCGTTAATACGTATGTTGACGTGATGTGCAAAACGAATATTATTGATCGATTATTTAGACTTATGAATAACACGTCATCTATTTTAATGAATAGCTTTCGTATGAATATGATAATGATCATCAAAATATATGACAGCTATGCACAAACTTTTGATAAAGAAAAAGAAAAAGAAAGAGAACGATATATTTAATATGAAAGTAACTCATGTGTGACGAAAACGAAGGATACATACAGTAAAAAAATGAAACAAGTGAACATCAATAAAAATGTTCAAGAAATAAAATAATCCTACATTTATTAACTCTTGATGATCTAATTATAATTACGTTTTCAATGATATTCTGATTAACAAGTTAATTAATATGAATTTCTATAATTATCGAAGTATATTTTATCGATTCATCATATGTATATGTTTATATATTTTAATGACTTTTAATAATATTCTCATATTATCTTTTTTATATCAAAACAATTATTGATATAATATACAGTTAAGATATAATAATAAGTAGTTGAATCACATGTTAATTAAAGTGTCTTTTAATTTTAACAAAAAAACAAATAAGTTAATAACATTTGTTGACAAAATTTAAATTATTTGAAAACTAAATCCTGTTCGAAAATAGAAATTTAATTTTTCTTTTTTCAAATAGCATGATTTATCTAATTTTTAATGTTTTATAATTTTTTATATATTAATTGGAATATAATTTAACGCTACATAATTAGAATATAATTCAAAAACAGAAAAATAAATGAAATGGTTATTAGACAAAATAATTATAAATTTAGTGATTTTTATGAATAATCAATAAATTTCTAAAACGACTAATTATTGATCGATTAGGCTGATAAATAAATTTTTTAATATTTGTTTATATCACGAAGTCAATAAAAAATTGAAACAGGTATAGAGTGAATCATTTTGTTCTTCTTTTTTTTTCTTTTCGACTGTTCTACAAATATTAATCGTTGTCCTAACCTACTTATTTTGATCTATATTTTTTTTCAATAAGAAGAATCATTGCTTTAAATTTTTTTATCGTTCATTATTTGAAAAACAAAGCTAGACAAGTTTCTCGATTTATTCTCTAGTCATTGTCTTTACTTATACATAAATATCTAATGTTTTTCAAATAAAAATAATACATTTTCCGTTCACAAGCTTTGACGTATTTAATATAATATGGACGTACAAAAAATCATGAAGAAAAATAAATTAAAAGTTTCTATCAAAAAAGATATATTCGATAATGCTATTGCAACAATAGTATCAATTAAAAATTAATGATCAAAATATTACATAAACCATATTGAAGAAGAAAAAAAGTTTTTTATAGATTAAAATTATATGAGCACATAAATATCATAATAATAAAAGTAAAGATTAATTTCTTTTCAATAATTATAACTAAATATTTATAGATGATAAAAAATTCATTTTGATTTTTGAAAATCTTCCTCCATCGTGTTCAATTATTTGATTCATGATTGAAATTTTTGTTGAATCTTTTGTTTAAGATCGATTAAATTAATGGATCAATGTTGTTTATGTTCAAAAAGAAGACAACTATTGCAAAACCGTATCTTTACAAACCTAACACCAATCAATATTGTCATTAATAATCAAATGGATGGCATAAATTTCAAATTGATTTAAATTATGCTTAAGTTTTATACATCTTATACAATAATGTTTTGAGCAAGTTTAACAACAATGATCACATTTTGGTTTTAACGATAACGATGAATTAAAACACTCAATAACATCTTCAGCTACTCGATTAATAAGTAATTTAATTATCTCTCATTGGACAATAACCTGTACCAACTTGACATAATTTTTCAATACATTTATAACAAGATGTATGTGAGCATGGAAGTAAATGAAAATCATCATAAAAATCGAAACAAATGGCACATTTAACTACATTTTCTGATGTTATACTGCTGTTTGTGCTTGACGTTAATGGTGTTGCCATATTCTTGCACTGAATAATGAAAATATGTGTCTTTAATATATTTAAAAAAAAAAAAATTCCTCCTTTGTCTTGATATTTATTTATAAAATTCACTTGGTTTTTTTATATTATTAATGAAGCAAGTAAATGAAACAATAACGTCAGTGAGTCACACGGCAACGATAATTTTTTTCTCTTTCTCTTCTCCTCAATTTATATGTGAAAAGCTTTTCTTCTTTACTTACAACGTGTTTGTATCAGTTATATCAAAAGAATGTGTGTTGGTAAGGTTTTGCGATGAAAGTGAACATATTGATCTACCCACGTTTAACATAAAACTTGATCATTTCTATTGAAGAGTTGATTGATTACAATTCATATATGATAAATAAACAATTTATTTATTGAAATATAATATTCTCAAGTCAGTTATATTTTGAATATGAACAGATTTTTCGAAGATCGTTTTCTATACTTATGAAATGAATATATGAT